AAAAAAAAAAAAAACATTAAAAAAAAAAAAAAAATTTAAAAAAAAAAAAAAAAAAAAAAAAAAATTAAATTTATATTTGTACATATCTGTGGGCACCAGGCTGGCTCAGGTTAAAAATCTGACTCTTGATTTCAGCTCAGGCCATGATCTCACGATTCCTGAGATCAAGCCACACATTGGGCTCCGCACTATCAGCTTGAGATTTTCCCTCCCTTTCTCTCTGCCCCTCCTCCGCTCATGATCACAATCTCTCTCAAAATAGACATTTGAAAAATAAAATAAATTTGAATGTATTTGTATAAACAAGCCTATAAATATGTATGATTTTATTAAAGAGAACTATGACAGGTAACCAATAAAGGCTTTCAAGTACAAAAGTATACATATGGAAGGTTGTTGGGGGAGGATCAAAATTTTAATCAAGGAGAAAAAAGAATGATAAAACTTTCATGCTACTAAAGAGTGGTGAGTATCATCACATCATCATCATCACTGTGTCTTTAAATGGTGGTACGTAGGGCACCTGGGTGGCTCAGTCGGTTGAGGGTCCAACTTCAGCATAGGTCATGATCTCACAGTTTATGAGTTCGAGCCCCACAGCTTGCTCCAGATCCTCTGTCCCCCTCTCTCTCTCTGCCCCTTCCCAGCTCATACTCTCTCTCAAAAATAAATAAACATTTAAAATAAAAGAGACAGAGTGAGAATGAGTGTATATAATGAGTATTCTAACAGTCTTACTTTTAAATATCAATAGTGACATTTTCGAAAGTATATCCATAAAGTCATTAGTAGGAAGTATCTAAACTCACTTTAAAATGTGCTACGAGGTACACAGTACATATATTTCAAAATTCTACTAGGAGTATGAGAACATGCATAAAGCATGTGAAAATTATTAAGTTTGAAAAAATGTTCTAACAATTTCCATAACAGTGTGTTTACATGAAAGAAAACAGATTCCACACTAAGGATGCAAGATGGACATAAAGACACAGATATAAAATAGGAATAAAAACAGAGTTTAGTATTATTAAAATAAAAAATATACCTTCCTATTAATCAACCCTACTTTGGGGAATCTATTCCACAGAAATAAAGGTAGCCCCACTTATTATTTTTTTAATTAAAAAAAAGTTCTTTAATGTTTACTTTTGAGACAAAGACATAGTACGAGTGTGGGAAGGGCAGACAGCGAGGGAGACACAGAATCTGAAGCAGTCTCCAGGCTCTGATCTGTCAGCACAGAGCTCAACCCCATGAACCTTGAGATCATGACCTGAGCCGAAGTTGGACACTTAACCAACTGAGCCACCCAGGCATCCTACGTACCACTATTTAAAGACACAGTGACGATGATATTCACCACACAAGTTAAAATATGGAGAAAATCCTGACTACATGATAGAACAACTTAATATTATGGTATATCCATTCTATGCAGTATTATATAACTTTATAAAATGAGTTAGATCTGTAAGAGAGTGAGGCATGTCTATGATATATTAAGAAATGAGGGGTGCCTGCATGGCTCAGTAAGTTAAGTGTCTGACTCTTGATTTTGGCTCAGGTCATAATCTCATGATTCATGAGATCAAAACCGTTGTCAGGCTCTACACAGACTGCTTTCAGCACAAAGCCTGTTGGAATTCCTTCTCACTCTCTCTCCCTCTCCTGCTCGTGCTCTCTCTCAAAGTAAATGAATAAACATTAAGAAAAAAAAAAAAAAGAAATGAAAAAGGCAAAAGCAACTTGCAAAGTAATAAGCATAGTATAAACCAATTTTTAAATGTTTACATATATATATACATATACATATATTTTTTTTTTTTTTGAAAGAGTGAGCCAGCGTGCATGCACACATGAACCGGAGAGGGGCTGAGAAAGAGGGAGACAGAGGATCTCAAGAGGGTTCTGCCCTGACAGCAATGAGCCAATTTGGGGCTGGAACTCACAAACTGTGAGATCATGACCTGGGCTGAAGCCAGACACTCAACCGAGCCACCCAGGCACCTCAAACGATTTTTAAAAAACAAAAATCAGGTCACCAAGGTGGCTCCGTCGGTTAAAAGGGCAACTTTGGCTTAGGTCAGGATCTCAGAGTTCATGTCAGGCTCTGTGCTGACAGCTCAGAGCCCAGAACTTGCTTCGGATTCTGTGTCTCCCTTTCTCTCTACCCCTCTCTGGTTCACACTCTGTTTCTTTCTTTCTCAAAAATAAACATTTAAAAAAAATTTTTTTTAAACAGAAAAACAAAAATCACCAACACCTCAAGTATTTTAGATATATGTTTATATATTACATATATGTATATTATTTTTAGAAGCACAAAAAAGGTATGGAAGGAAACACACCAAAGTGTGTTATTTTAGGAAGATGAGGCAGAAAAAAATTTTTCCTTATATATTTCTATATTCTCTTACAACTTGAATAAGGAGAAAAGATAACATGTTTGGGTGTCTTTTAATACTGAAACTACACTCATGGATTTAGAAAGAAACAGATATCCAACTCTTCACTTAAAAATTTAAAAAGATAACATCTACCAACATAATACAGACTTTTACGGAAAGAAAGTAAAAGATGAGATAAAAGAGCACAGACCTTACTTCAATTTGTGCTAATTTGGGGTGGCATTATGCAAAATCAAATTCAAACTTACCGTACAACAGTACTGAAGGGCTATTGCATTTAAAGTATCTCCTTCCTGTATATCTTTTGTTAATACTATAATGTCATCAAGTCTATCTCTTGATGTACTTCTTCGTATTTTCTCTTTTCCTCTGGATCGAAGCTCATACACTTCAGCATCCTCCTCCAATACGTCACTGTCTGTACAATTTCCAAACGCATGTAGTTGACCACTTGAATGAACTCCTGGAAGAGGAAAACTACGATTCTGATGTCTCCCTGCCATGTCAAAATCTGAGGGGGAAAGAAAGCAGAGAAAACCCTGGAATGTAGCTGATCCATATGACAAAGTTACATGAATCTTACATTCAGGACACATATATATATATACACACATATTTTAAGAATGACTTTAGTTATTTAAGAACTTAAGTTTGAGTTTTAGAGGATGTTAAAGTGCAAAGAACATATCTGGCAGCAGAAACAATGAGAGGGGAGGAAGAAGTAATCCATTCTTATAAACCATGTATCACAAAAGTAGAAGTGATAAACATTTCCACAAAAGTAAACTGTTATTGCTTAAGGTCAAAAAACTAAGCTCCCCTTATTCTCAGTATATGAATAAAATTAAGGAAATATTTTTATATTCTATATTACAACTTCTGATCATATATGTACAATTTATAATTCTGATAAAATCAAAGTACATGTTTTATATGTACAAACAAAACACTTCAATAAATCCAATATTCTGGCTTGTTCAGCATTTTAAGTTCATATGTCTTTTGTACTACCTACCCACTTCCTTGGATCAAGCAGACTTCAGTATTTATGTTTAGTATAGTATGTGCTTTCTATATAGGTCATAATTTTGCCCTAGACTAAGGATTCTTATCCTTGAGCAGCTTTTCACCAATATTTATCAAACACCTCATACAGGGGCGCCTGGGTGGCTCAGTTGGTTAAGCGTCTGACTTTGGCTCAGGTCATGATCTCACAGTTCGTGGGTTCTAGTTCCCCCGTCGGGCTCGGTGCTGACTGCCAGCTCAGAGGCTAGAGCCTGTTTCAGATTCTGTATCTCCCTCTCTCTCTGACCCTCCCCTGCTCATGCTGTCTTTCTCTCTCTCTCAGAAATAAAAATTAAAAAAAAAAAAGACCTCATCCAACTCAATTTATGATCCATAAAGACTGAACATATTTTAGGTCACTACATTCATTTCTACTTCAGACTGAGCACTGACCTAAATTAAAAACATACATCAATAAGCGGACATCAATGAGTATTTTTGGTTACATGCACTCTCAAGTGACCTTCATCAAGCTGGCCTATTCTCATTAAAAACAAAACAAAAATATAAAAAAACTAATTCTACATGCCCTGTTCTAGCTTCATATTAAATGTTCACATAAGAAAGGATAGTAGAGGGGCGCCTGGGTGGCTTAGTCAGTTAAGCGTCCGGCTTTCGCTTAGGTCATGATCTCGCGGTTCGTGGGTTCAGGCCCCGCGTCGGGCTCTGTGCTGACTGCCAGCTCAGAGTCTTGAGCCTGTTTCAGATTCTGTGTCTCCCTCTCTCTCTGACCCTCCCCTGCTCACGCTGTCTCTCTCTCTCTCCTAGAAATAAATTAAAAAAAAAAAAAAAAGAAAGGATAGTAGATTGTTTTCAGTTATTGTAAAAGATGGAAAGAAGTAGACAAGGAGTAAAAGGCATTTTGGAGATAAAATACTTAGGACTTAATATTGCGACTCAGATATCAAAAAAGGAAAGAAGTTAAGAATCATGCCAAGATTTCTGATTTGCATCACTGAGTAGATGGTAATGCCAGTCTCTAAAATACCCAACACTGGAAGACAATCAGGAGGCTGGGCTATTGATTATAAATTCCTCTAAGACAGCCCGAAAGAAGGTGGAGTAGTCAATGGGCTATACAGTCAAATTCAGAAAGGTCTGGGTAAGAAATATAATTTCATGACTCATGTGCATAGGAAGAAACTGAAACTGTATAGGTATAAAGGAGATTCCTTAGAGAAAGTACAGAATAAGAGAAGAGGAGCCAAGACTGAGCCTTGAAGCTACATGTAGTAGTATCTAAGTGAAGGAAATCTGCCTGCAAAGAATATGGAAAAGGAATACTCAGAAGAAGAAACCATAAAAATAGTGTGTCATGGAAGGCAAGCCCAAATGGTGTCTTAAAGGACTTAGTTCAGTTGTGAATACTACAGACAAATACTAAGTGAAAAAGAGAAAAAGACCGAAAAAAAAACCCCAAAACAAAAAAACCTCCAAAAGTCTAAATTTGTAATATAGATGACAAGAGATTACATTCTGTATGTAGGCACATACATAACTCATGGAACTATTTCAGAGAGTTGAATCCAACCCTCTAAAACCAGTTTCTGATTCTATTGTACAGCACCAATGCAATGCTTTAAGAACCCAAGGGTTTCTATTAGACTAATCTAGATAATAACTATATATTAAGTAGACTCTTAAAAGTTAAGAACCACTTAACATACAGTCGTTCAAATGTATTGATCTTGCTGTGCTGCCCTTTAGACTTTTCCTCCCTAATAATTTGTTCTTAAAATCCCAAAGTGGCTCAGTACAGTTGAAATTCACTGAGCAATGCCCAAAGCCATTTTACATATTGCTATCAAACGTTCTCCACTGTGTACTGCTAAATACTAAATAATACGACTAGAACTTCATTTTACTATCTCTTCACCGTCATGTGTAATGAATTGCAGGCAGCAGAATACCACAAACTGGATACTGCTTCTGAATAATCAAGAATTGGTTATCTCCAAGTGAAGTGGAAAGACAGGGGCCCAAGCAGGTAAGTATCAAAGCCAACTACAGAGAGAGCAGAAAGTACATAGTATTCAACTCATTGGCTCAATGTTCTTCACTTGTCTTAACTCTTAGGGTTGGTGGAAAAAAGCCTGCATGCTACCTAGAATACAATCCATCGCAAAAAGTAATTACCAGTGGATACGTTGTTAAAACATTCGACCAGCTCACTCTGTAACTGAAAACGTTTCCCAAACACCTTCCTACTTTATAATAACTGTTGTTGGGTGTTTTACTTTGAATTTCCGTAAGTAGAGAGCAATAAAAGGGCCATAGGGCACAAGCAATAAAAGGGACTGTATCCACCAGGGGCAATTCAGTTTTTAAAAACTTCTCTTCCTCTCCATTCCACACAGCGAGATTTTTTTCTTTCCTTGTTTATACGATAATTAAATCTGAGATTTTTACGCCACAACATCACACTTGGGCGGTGTGGACGACATGCTGTCAGCATATATTGTTGCGGGGGGGATATAGTGTTTAGGTTTTAAATGCGTGGCTCCGAGAATCAGACAGGTAGGAGTCCTTCCTCTGAGCCTGTTTCCCCGAGAGTAAAGAGGAGCTGCGGTGGGGTTGGTCGCGAAGGTCTCCTCTGTCTTAGGATCTCCTCCATGCAGGCCGGGATCTAAGCCCCAAGCGGCGGCCCGGGCTACACCTGCGGCCGAGGGCTCCTCCCTGTCTCCAGCAAGAAGAGCATAGCTGGGGCCCAATCCCACCGACCGCCATCTTTACCTGTTCCGTTAGCAGCAGGGACGCAACAAGGAGCCCGCTGCCAGGTCCGCCGCCGCGGCTCCGGTCCCGGGCAAATTCATGACCAACCCTGCGATTCTGGCCGCCCCTGTCCTCTGCCGCCACCGCCACCGACGTCTCTGCCTTCCGGGCCGTGCGCCGCCGCCACGTCCGCAAACCTGCCGTGCGTCATCGCGTCAAGTGGGCGGAGGTGGGCAGGAGTGGGGGAGGAGGAGGAGGAGGAGGGCGGAGGGGGGAAGGGGCGGGGAAGGAGGAGGGCGGAGGGGGGAAGGGGCGGGGAAGGAGGAGGGCGAGGACCCGAAGGCGAGACGAGACCAGGCGGCTTCTTAAACAATGGTCGGCGCTCGGTGCGCATGCGCAGGGACGCCTCCAGGGCCAGGGGGCGGGGTCCGAGTTCCAGCCCCGCCTATGTCTCCTCCCCGTCTGCCCCAGCTCCCGCACCGGCCGTGGTAGCAGCTTCGAGGGCAAATCCTGCTGGGTCTGGGTAACCCAGTGATCGGGAGCGACCTTCTGGCTGCACCTTTGTCTTTCGTCCGCACAGTACCGGCAAAGACTGTCTAAAAAACATCCGGGGGTGGGGAGTCGGGAGGAAGGAGATGCTTAAGGTTATGATGAAGACTGTTGTGCATTTCTTCTTGCTCTGCATCTAGAGGTTTGTCTAGGGTGGAGAAGGTCGCCCAAAAGCTTAGTGTTGACATCTATGTTTTAGAAAATTGTACTGTGCTTATTGCTTTTCATGCGGAAGCTTCTCGGCTTTTGCAGGAAGGACAAAATACTGGAGAGAAGTCCTTGGTTGGTGGGGTAGGATTGCCTCAGTCTTTGTGTTTATAGGTGAGGAAAGTCCGCCACCTAGAGTCAGGTCCCGGAAAATGTTTGCCCTCAGGCTTTGGTTCTTAGCTTGCTATTCTCTAGAAAACAAGGCTGTGTACAAATTGTAACTTTGTTTTGAAAATTAACTGAAAGTCACTGGTAGTCACTGTTGGGGTCTAGGAGATATAATTTGTTAAATCACAAAATCCTTACTTAATATATTATTTTTCTCAAATTTACTAAATGAGCGTGATAATGTGTTTTAATTTATGTAAATGACTGTAAAGCATTTTAATGATATGCCTCATGTTTCCCAATATTGACGTTACAGACTGCCCTTTGATGACCATGCTGTCTTATGACACTATACATGTTAGATCCAAACAGCTGGGATGCAGGATGCAGAGCACTTCTTTTCAGAATGTCTGAATATTTATGCATCATGAAGACCTTGAAGCTGTGTTTCAAATTACTTTCAAAGACCGTGTTTTTGTTTTCTGGGAAGTGCCTTCAGTAAAGGTTAGGAATTCTGCACTGCAGTATTTTTCTTTTATTTGAGGAGGTAGACACTGTGGTCCACAATGCTACAAAAAGAACTGCAGGAGAAGCCTTTTTTTTTTTTTTTTTAAGTTTGTCAGAGCTGTTCTGTGTGCTGTTGCCCTTGTGACACCCGTCTGTAACCATTTATCACTGAGACATTTTCTCATCAGTAGACAAAAGATATATTCCCTACTTGATATGTAGGGCTTCAGCTGCTCAGCCTTCATGAATGTTAATGTGAATACAACCTTCTTTCTGCGTGTAGGTTACTTTTCTTATTTTAATGTCAATAGGCAGTGGAATCCATGTGAGAGCCTAAGTGATAGAATTTCAAGCACTTCTACAGCACTGCTACCTGTTTCCTTTCTATAAATATTTTTTCAATGATATCTGCATGTTCTTGAATCATTATTTATGTTTAAGAAAAGTGCAGTTACTGAACTTTAAATAAAGACAATAAAGGAACTATATTTTATTATTAAAATATACAAAGGAGGCAGTTAGCCATGAATTTTGGCCACGTTCCAAAAAGCTGGCCAGTAGGAACAAATACTTTGTCTTTGAGAAAAAGGATGTCCCCACAGCTGAGCAAAGCCAAAAGGATTTTCAGTTTTTTGAGATTTCATCTGACACAGTTTTCATTAAACGGCTGTAGATGAAAGAATATGTAGTTTCTAGGAATGTGTGTTTCCGTCACTAACATTCGGGTTTAGTGATTTGCTCCAGAATAAAAACAGTATTGTAATGAGAGTATAAATTGATGCAGCTGGCTAGGAGTGGTACTTGATAATATCTATCAAAGTTAAAAATGCAACTGACTGAACTATTAAATGGTTAGGTAATTACCTTGGATTCACTTACAGATACATACATATAAAATGTAATAGATATGTTCAGGAATATTTACTACACTCATAGCCAAAAATCTGAAAATACTCTAAATGTTCATCAGTATCAGGCTAAAGAGTTCTGATATATTTAAATAATGTAATACTATGTTTTTAATGTTTAACTTAAACAATGAAATTAATCTATATTTTCTGATTTATTTATTCATTGACATAACAAATTTCCATTAGAGGAAAAGTATATGTGAGATCTATATTCAAGACACTGGGGATACAGTGCTTAAGAAGACTGTTTCCTTACTCCATGTCTATGCACATGGAAAAATCTCCAAAATGTATTTTAAAGAGAAAGATGTAAATTACATATAAGAGGTATGACATTATTCCTTTGGAATAGAATTCATATATATACTCCCCTTCCCCTAAGCATTCATGTATCTATGCAGGGAGATACATTTAATCTTTCTGGAATATTACAGAAGGAATTTTGAACAGTGGTTAAACGGACTAGATGTGGTAGGAGAATAAACAGAAGACTCCCTTCTCTTCTTAGCTCTCTCTATATAGATTGAATTTTTATTACCACATGATTTTCTTTTATTAAACAATATTAAGACTGAACACATTTCATTACTGAATAACTGGACTTGTTTTATCTACATTTAACCGATAGTCAACCATCCAACTCTTAATCACTCCTGAGTCTGTTTGTACTTCTCTTTTCTTTTTTTAACATTTATTTATTTATTTTTAATTTTATTTTTGAGAGAGACAGAGACCACATGAGCAGGGGAGGGTCAGAGAGAGAGGGAGACACAGAATCTGAAGCAGCTCCAGGCTCTGAGCTGCCAGCACAGAGCCTGACGCAGGACTCGAACCCACGAACCATGAGATCACGACCTGAGCTGAAGTCGGACGCTTAACCGACTGAGCCACCCAGGCGCCCCAACATTTATTTATTTTTGAGAGACAGAGAAACAGAGCACAAGCTGGGGAGGGGCAGGGGTGGGAGGAGGGGGACACACAGAATCCGAATACCAAGCGGGCCCCAAGCTCTGGGCTGTCAGCACAGAGCACAATGTGGGGCTTGAACCCACAGACTGTGAGATCATGACCTGAGCTGAAGTTGGACACTTAACCAACTGAGCCACTCAGGCACCCCTGTACTTCTATTTTCAAGTATTGAGTGCCTGGAGAAAAGAACCAGAACAAGTCCCTTGGTGATCAAAAAATGAGGAGCACATGGGTGGCTCAGTCAGTTAAGCATCTGACTTCAGCTCAGGTCATGATCTCACCACTCGTGAGTTTGAGCCCATTGTCAGGCTCTGTGCAGGCAGCTCAGAGCCTGAAGCCTGCTTCAGATTCTATGGCTCCCTCTCTGTCCCTCCCCAACTCGCTCTGTCTCTCTCTCTCTCTCTCAAAAATTAAAAAAAAAAAAATTAAAAAAAAGAAAACAAGCATTCCAATCCGTCTGTCCATACAGGCATTACTATATGAAAACTAGTGTCACAAATACTATTCTTAAGTTCATTAGCCACGTAGTTGGTACATATAAAAACGAATAGTTGTATGTTTATAATTAAATAGACTGTAACTTAAGTGCTTTGTTTCCCGTAATCTTTACAATCACTATGGTCACATAAGTAAATTGGTGCAGATGAATGCCCTAGAACCTGTAACCTGCTTGCTGTTGTGCCTATTCCTCCAAAGATCTAAATGTCAGACAGAATTCAGTCAAGCCCACTTCACCAAAAGAAAATATTAAAAGGATGAACTGGTCTATGGAATTGGGTGAAACCATAAGGTGGTTATCTGAAAGTGGAGAGTAAATCAAAATAGATTCCAGATAGTGGACATCGAGTTAGATTTTTTAGATGTTCAATAGTGTGATCATGGAGTCAGGAAGATGAAGGGGTGGGAAAACATAAGGGGAGAATTAAAGAGGTAATGATGTCTTTTCATTCTAGTCTGCATCTCTCCCAATGGGTAGAGACTACTTCTTGACAATCCTCAGCTTGACCAACAGGACCTGAAAAACCAAACTAGAGGTTCAAAAGCAAAACTCTCATGTCCATATAAAGAATCATAGAACAGGGGCATCTGGGTGGCTTAGTTTGTTAAGCATCTCACTCTTGATTTTGGCTCAGGTCATGATACCAGCACCGTGAGATTGAGCCCCACATCAGGCTCCTATGCTGAACATGGAACCTACTTAAGATTCTCTCTCTCTCTCTCTCTCTCTCTCTCTCTCTCTCTCTCTCCCTCTCCCTCTCCCTCTCCCTTTCCCTCTCCCCAGCTTTTGGGCTCTCTCTCTCTCTAAAATTAAAAAATAGTAATAAAATAAAAATTAAAAAGAATAATAGAACACTGAGGTATTATGCCTAAGCCGAAGTAGTGCTTACCTGACAAAGTATAGACAGAAATTACATCTGTTCACTTGACAAATAATAATTAGGTGCCTGCAGTGTTTAAGGTACTGTTTTAAGCCATGCAGATACGTGTCCAAACAATTGCTCTTATGGAGCTTATATTCTTGTGGTAGAAGATAGAGAAAAATAAGATGAATAAATGAAACATTGGTATGTTAGATGCTGATAAATGAATGGGGTAAAATTAAGTATGGAAGGAGGTTGAAGTATTTGGGGTGAGGGGAATTTGCATTTGTGATAGAGTGGGTAAAAGGCCTGATTGAAAAGGCCTGAGGATAGTATATGAGCCATGTTGGTACCTAGAAGAACTTGCTAAGCAGAGGGAATAGCCACGTACCAAGTTCCTGAGAGGAAGTGTGCCTTGTGTATTGGAGAAATAGCAAGAAAACCACCAGAGCTCAAGTGGATTGCACAAGGTGGGAGAGCAACCGGAGATGAAGGAAGAAGGAGCTAAATTGGATGAGACTGTGTATGCCATTACAGGACTCAGATTTTTACTCTAAGATGGCAAGCCATGCATCGGAGGGTTTTGAGTAAAGGGAAACATTATCTACCTTTGAAA